GTGGGGGGGGGGGGGGGGGGGGGTAAACCATTTGCCCAAAAAATTCTTGCAAGTTGCCCAAATTTTTACAAAACAGTCGAACAGAAACGAGGGCCATACCATGCAATAACATAAGCCGTACTGACATATGAAAGTGGCTCGATACAGTTTTTCAGGGTCAATACCTGCCAAAGAGAAAGAGAACGTTACTGACTTCTATGTATCAAGTTTACAAATCTGAGCTACCCGATAACATAATAAGGCTTTTTAGTAGTAGCAATTGCTGTTATGATCTACGCAATAGAATTAAGTTTGAGGTTCCCCGCTTTAACCTTGATGTGGGCAGGAATTCATTAAGACATAGGGGAGCTTTGTTCTGGAACTCCATTCCATACAATTTAAAAAGAGCACCAAGTCTAAACATTCTTAAAAAGCTTCTTAAGAAAAACAGACCCTTGTTGGACAATATAAATTTCAACAAGATGAAATAGTATTTTAATTGTTCTTAACTTTTAGCCTTTTACCTTACTACTGTATATTTATTCTTTTTATATACCTATTTTCTGTACATTCTTTTATTTTATTCGTAAATCATCAATAGATAGTTTATCAGTAGGTCCACATCAACTTTAGCTGCCTTTTAACTTACCTGCTTTACCAAATAAACTATGAATGAATGAATGAATGAAAATTTGGGCATAAACTACGTCGCCATAAACAAACATTTGGAAAAATTGCCACCACAGTTGTATTAGATTAAGACGAAAATTTGTTATGATCAGGGTTGCAATGACATCGAGTTGTCATAGCAACGAAATGGTGCCATTACCTATCATACTTGCAGCAATATTTCTCACTGGAAACGGTTCTTCCAAAATCGTTCACGGGAGCTTTTTCCTCCAATAGTCGCCTCGATGTTCGTGAAGTTAAACCGGAAAGAGCGTTATCGACATATTTTGGGATAAAAGCTCAGTCCAGGTAAACTTCTCAGTACGGAAATCAAAAGACGGATAGTCGATTTGTATTTGAGCGGAGAGGGACCGAGGCGATTCATACTCATGGCGGAGTGTGTCGCATCATTTGTCATTATCAAAAGACTGTCTCGTGTAAATGTAACTGGGTTATTATGCCGACTTCAGGTTAAAATAGAAAATATTTATCTCTTCAAAATAATAATAAAAAAACATGAAAACATCTTTAAAAACTGGCTTTGCCCAAATTCTCTCTTGGTGCCCAACAAATCTGAGTTGCCCAAAATTTGTGAAGGGGGCGGGGGGGGGGGCTGAAGCTCCCCTCGCCCCCCCCGGCCCGTACGCCTATGACCATAAGGCCATTTTATCTGAAGAGTGCTGCAACAATTGTATAGTACGCAACTATATGGTAATAAAATGGCTAGTCTTATCTTCAGTTGCTAAAAAATTGTGTCTCTGGTAAAATAAAACATATAATTATAAAGGGAGTGAACGATTATACTAAAGAATTTTAAAAGTAAAAGTAGTCGGGCAAGTCAGCCCCTGAATGCAGTGGCTGATAATAAAAGAGTTCCCAGGGTTCTGAATCGTAAGGCGAAGTACTTTGGGAGACTGGACGTTTTGATATTGTACCCATCAACCTTATCAGGAGCATCATTAACAGAAGTTCTCAGGTCAGCATTACTTTGCAAATGGACGGATTCAGTTGGAAACGATTTTACTAGCTGGGACCAATTGCTAATGCAGTCGACAACTTGTTGAAAATTACTGTTTCTGGATAATGGAATCAGCTCAGAGATGGTGGAGTCGTCAGGAAATTTCCACGTGGGTTTCGCGCATCCTGGAACCTTAAGGGCATTGATCATTGCGAGGAAACCTTACCTGAGCCCATTCCATTTTAGAGTTACAGGCTTTACACCCAGGCAGGAGGGTATGGAGTTTGGCGACAAGTGTCCATTGGTCGACTTAGTCGAAAGCTTTGCGAAGTCCTCAAAGCAGTTCTCACAGTCCACACCGGCGGAACAGTCGGTGGAGCTTAGCAATAAGTGCAAAGGCCGTAGATGAGTCGGGGATGAAGCCATACTGGTAAGGATCAATAGATGAAAGGAAGGTGGGATTCGAGGACTGTAATTTTGAAGACTCACCGTCCCCTAGGATGATAGAACAGATACAAATTTTATAGTTCCGCTTATGATGCATTTCGAGAGATCTAATAGTACTCTGGATAGCCTAAAAATGCTTTCAATATATTAAGGAGAAAATCGTCGTTGGGTGCCTCTGAAGACATCAGCCATAAGCACCCAGTTAGGAGGGTCATCTGGACAGCCTGCACGTGAGGTGCTCACATCTCTAAATTTCCTAGCAACAGATAATTCGGTGACATTAACTGGTTGTTCACCATCAGTAGGTACACGGGTGCAGTATTTTAGAGCCTCATTGATCTATTTTATTTTATTTAGATTCGCCAATTATTGGCAGGGTCACCGCAACAACATGACGCCAATTACTGCGGGCCCGTAACAGTCCCTCCCCCCATGAGAGATAGACCACCACACCGGGGACTATGTCCCCCACTCTTTACGAACAGTGTGTGGGTTCTTTAACGTCCCACAGAATTTATATATGCAAAGGTTGTGAGACGGGGCCTACGGTTTATCGTCCTTATCCGCGAAGACTAGAAAGTCTAACCGTTTGCAGATGTCTTTACAAAGGCAGCACTTTCTCCTCAGTTATTTAAAGACCCTGAGTGTTGGTCCGGCCAGGACTTGAACCAGCGGCCTCCCGCTCGGCAGACCGGCGCTTATCCAGCTGAGCTAAAAACAGTCTCTTTGCAGACAAGATCAACTTGGATGATGGATGTCAGGTCACGTCTAGTGCGCTTGCCAGTACCACACAGCAGTTTGAGCGTCTGCCACCAATCGAGGGGTATTTGTTCACGCAGGTCTTTCACTTTGGTCTCGTAGTAAACCCTGCAGCGGTGCTTACGCTTGCGATTCACTTTGTTTCTTAAGATTTTGTAAAAGGGCTCATTTCCGGTGGCGAGGACCTTTTGGCTGCGCGTGATAACACAGGTGGCCCAACTGTATGAGAAATAAAGAGTTTGAAACTTAGATGAAATAAATGAACTCAAAGCGATAAAAGTTATCAATAAAGTGTAAATACTGTTACCTGGAGTCATTGTCTTTGTTTTTACGAAGTTTCAGCGCGATTTGAGTGCTTTTACATCATTTGACCTTACAGTGTAAGAATAAGACACAAGGCAGGACAGAATCGCTCGATCGAGCTTCAGAGCTGCTCAGAATCAGCTCCAAATTTCACCCGAAAAAACAAACACACTTACGAAGGTGTGAAGAAACTGGTCGGCCAACAAGGGTGCGCTTTTGGTCTCAGTCGAAAGAAAAAAGCGATATCAGAATTGCACGATGACGTCATTTTACTACAACTACCAGAATCCCTCAGTTTGTTGCTTTCTTGTGCAAATTAGGGCTATTGTTCTTTAATCTTAAGCGGGATTGACGAATTTAAATAAGAAAGCAAAAACGAAATGAATTCTGGTAGTTACAGTCAAATGTCGTCATCGTGAAAATTGCCTTCATCAATTTTTGGAGCCAGTGATTTTGTGTTGGATAAAAGAAGCGAGGGAACAAAATTCCACCACCCTTGAAAACGCACTGTTACACTTTGGTGTTTCCTTTGGTGTTCGGATTAACTCTGTTCGTCCATTTCAGGCAAAATGGACAACGCGTTGGCCAGTGCGAGAGATCGAGTTTCTTTTCTGGACCTTCGACCACAGAGTTTCTACGAGCGATCTCTAGGTTACTTTAGCT